AATTTTTGGGTATGAGAAGTCTAAGTATTGTTTAAAAACTTATCGTCTCAGGAGGAAGATGACTTCCAACACTTCTTCTAATAAGAGGACTTTCCTAAACACACCTTCACCATTTAATTGTGATGGGTTTGAGCTAGAATTAAAATTTTCATCCAAAGTATCAATCTTGAATTGTGGGAAACTATTGTCAGTGGTTCGTTTATCCCTACTCATTATATCAATATGATTTTCTTTGAATTGAAAAAGACAGGAGAAAATTCAAATTTGATTTCAAAGCTATAAATTTTTTGGAGGGTTTCTCTTTACACCTAGTAGTGGTGATTTTCACCACTGAAAACCCAAAAATATCATTCGGATATGCACTTCTGAACTCACCTATCAGCATGTTTCGGATGTGAATCTCCGAAGACACCATATTTACATGTTTTAATACTTAAACATTGGGATTTTAAATTTCAGTGGGTGTTTCGGAAATGCATATCCGAAACATATGTACAGGCTGTTTCGGGTATGCATATTCAAAACTTCTTCTGTTTGTTTCATTTTTGTTTAAAACAACATCATTATCCATAACTTCAAATGTACATTTTTTTAGGATTATTTTTAAAGTATGAAATACAAAGATAATAATACGGGAATAACGATTAGATTAGATGTTCAGACAAACGTAAACATAATGTAGTACATAAGTTGTTCAGAAAGTGCTTAATATCAAAATATTACATCTAAAATATAAAACAAAATATAACATAGGCTACTGCTACTGCGTATGCCTAATCCTAACCCCCAGTGGCTTTCTATGCCTACTGTACCGCGCTACATTGGATGCCTGTGTAACCATCTTCCCAATGATGGCAACCGCCTCAGGACCTCCCCTCTCAATAATCCTAAAATCCAATACCTCCTGTCCAAGTAGGTGTATCTGCTAACATATCAGCAAGAGATCAATGGTATAGTCATCCTCAGCCTGCTGGTTCTCCAAGAGCTCCTCATGAGCTGGCCTATGCAGATGTCCAGGACCATCCGGTGTCATGATATGGTGTGACATGTGAAATAACCATGTCACGTAACCCTCCGTACAATGCCAACTCTGGGATGCTGGCATCATTCGATACTCACGTGGCACCAAATGATTCTCCCAATCCTGGAAGATGCCATCGAGATCCCGCCGGACAATAGTGTCGGGAGCAGCCTGAAAAGGAGATCTCAATATCGTCTGCACATAGCCAAACTTCCGGATACACCGCTCTAGAAGATACCTGACCATAAGATTCAACCCACAAGCTAGCCACCCAGAGTATAATGAGATCAGATCGAATGGGACAACATCCCTGTAATAATCAAATGATGTCCATTTGATGTTATCATGATTAGTACGATCAAGATACACCTGGTAAGGCGGAACTTTATGATTCCCTCTGTGGAGGACATACTTTGTAGCCCTCAGCATGTCGTGGGTATAAATCGGGTCCTGTTCGAAACCATGAATCTGGTGGAAGTGAGAGATGATCCAATTCTATAACAAAATTAAATGTACCATGAGGAGTGTGCAAGAGCCAGTGAACTGTCTAATCCTCTTGTTTGAAGCTTCATTCAGCTTTTGGTATATGTATACCAAAATGGTGCCCCCCCCCCAATTCCAGTCATGAATTGTAGTCAAATCCATAAAATACCGAAGGTATATCACATCAATGTAGTAGGCACTTTTTTACACAAATATGGACGTGCCAACTAAGAACATATAGTAGCACCGTAAAACATAATCTCGGTGGTACTGAACAAAAACTACGTCCCCATCATCCTCGGCCGCTGCTACTACACCCAGGTGCTCTTTATATAGATCCTTTAGGTGTGAGAATTTTACATGCGAACCATTAATGGTTTTGCAGTCATCAGCTGCCCAATATGGATCAACACCCAGATACTCGACCTTCCATTCGACTGCCTTAGCTCGTGGTATCTTGTGATGGTTAAGTAACCTCCCTCTGATAGGTAAGTGGATCAAGCAAGAAACATCATCAAGGGTGATCGTCATCTCCCCAATAGGTAAGCGGAAAGACAACATCTTTGTGCCACCTCTCTGTAAATGCCCTATGCATGTCGTGGCTTATAGCTGAGTAACCAGTACAACATAGTTTGGCAAGTCCAAATCCAACAACGACCTCATGGAACTAAGCAGCCCTAAAAAATGCATATGGAGGTGTTCACGTAAAAAAAGTTATCGTTAAAATATAATTTGTGAGTATAACTTTAAAATAAAAAGTGCAAGAAGAAATATACCTCTCCATCCCAAATATGTCGAGCGACATAATCATGATAATAGATCAACAGAGGGGTATCATAAGGCCCTCATAGATAGTCGATGTTCTCCTCCTCGGTTACCTCATCCCTCTCAAGTACCACAAACTCCTCATGAACGTCCCCCTCATCGGGTACCTTCTCATGCGCACGAGAGGTAGACGCCTGAGACAGACGACTCCTCGGTGCAGAAGAAGAAGAAGCTCTAGGAAAATCCTCCCTTTGTACCCAGCCTCGTCCTCGAGGCCTGTTAACCAGTTGCTCAACTCTCTCTCGCCGAGTAGAGGTAGTCTGGCTTGGCCTGCCTTATCCCAAATGATTGGACGTTCCCTGGTTGTCAGCCATATTCCTGAAAAATTACTTGTAATTATTAATATCAAGAGGTTTAAAAAAAAAACTCAGGCAAGAATTCACATGTGCACATCCGAAAATGGCCCAGGGGGTTTTCAAATGTGCACTTCTGAAACTACCCGCGAACAACCATTATCAACTAATAGTTTCTTCTTGCCCTAAATCATCTAAATATCATTTTTATATCACTCAAACACCAAAATTAAACTATTATAACAGCAATCTACATAATGTCATTGATTCTAACTAACCTAATAAACTATTATAACATTGTATGGTGAATCAAATGGAAATGGAGAAAACTTACACAAACTTGGAGCTTTGGGGATGAGTTAGAATGACTTGATAAGAGATGAAGTGGGGAGATTAGTAGAAATTAATTTTATGAATGAAAGGGTTAAGTTTTGTTCGTTGTTTTGAAAACAACAAGGTGACTTTGGAGATGAATCTCTGAAGTCATTAATTATGGGGTAAATTCGGAGATGCACTTCCGAAGTCATATTTTTGACAAAATAAAATGACATCGGATATACACATGCGAACACATCTGTTTTTGTCAAATATGGTGATTTCCGATGTGCATCTCCGAAGTCTGGGGGTATTTAGGGAATTTCGCCAAAGGTCTAAAAGAAGTACACTAGGTGTACAAAGAAATTCTCAACTTTTTGGTTACATCTTCAAGGGAAAACCAATTTATTTATATTTTTAATTGTAATTATACCTAAGAAACGTGAGTCGCTCTTAAAATAATCTATAGAGCTTTTCCAAGTATCCAACAAGATGGAATGAACACACAAGACAAAGAAGCCGAATCACCATATAAATGTGAAAGATTTCTTCACAAATGGTGTTAAAATTTTAGAAATCTTAGAAGAAAGATTAGAAATTTAGCAACTAACAAATATCTAAGAGTTAATAATTGGAATCATAAACATGATCTAATCCTATAATCGAGAGATGGAAATTTTTATGATTTTTAGAAAAATTGAAGGAAGAAATCATCGAGAAACTTAATGAGTTGATTCAATTGTTTAAAGATGAAAAGATGGACTCAAGAATACTAGAAGAATATATAGAAACTTCATAAAAGAAACTATTTTGAAGAAGAATAAGAAGAAGAATAAAATTCAAATCCAGTAGTCTCATTTGAAAGAACAATCGCAGTGGACGAACGATCCTCCGAAAATTCATCGCTTGAAAATGGAGAAATTTCATCAAGGAGAACATACAAAGAAGATAAATATGTTTCATACAGTATAATCTTTGAAAGAAGAAATGAGAAAGAAGTATCAACAAGAAATATATTTAGATACTCAACATCAAAAAGAAATATTGAAGAATCAACCTCTGATAGAATCTTCAAAGATCCTTCATCAGATGAAGAAGATGAACATGTTTGCTTGAAGATATCCGACGAAGAAGATAGTTGTTAGATCTTAAAGAGTACATTGAGTTTCTAGAAAATTGCAATGAAATGTTAAAATGTAAAAGGTTTAAATTCACTTTTGGTCCCCCTATTTTCATGTTTTTAAAGTTTTAGTCCCCCATTTTAAAATCTAATTTTTTGGTCTCTAAAGTTTACCTCATTAGAATTTTATTGGTTCCTCTCCAACAAAAGTTATTAATACTGACTTGACAATATTGTCTAGGATAATTAATTTATTGATATTTTTTAACTAATTTATTAATATTTAATTAATTTATATTTATTAATATTTAATTAACTTATGTATTTAATTGAGATTTTCTCTTATTTAATATTTAAATTCACTTTTGTTTCCCTATTTTCATGTTTTTTAAGTTTTAGTCCATTCATTTTAAAATCTAATTTTTTGGTCTCTAAAATTTATTTCATTTAAAATTTTGTTGGTCCCCCTCCAATTTTAAATATGTGGCATGATGGTTTACATAAAAAAATATTGACTAGAATAATTAATTTATTAATATTTTTTATTAATTTATTAATATTTAATTAATTTATGTGTTTAATTGAGATTTTCTCTTATTTACAAATGCTAAGAAACTAATTCGAATATGGATGATAAATTTTTTGTGGTAAATCAAAACATGGAGTAATGCTCGATCTATCACAATAAAGAATCATTATCACATTAAATTATTTTATATGCTGTGGAAATGCAACTTCAAGAACATGATCATTGTTAAGGTGAATTGAACACATGAAGATCATAAACATGAAAATTACAAAGAGAAAGAAAAGAAAGCAAGTGAAAAATAACAAATTGTGGATCTGAACCGAATTTCCAACACTAGTTTATTATAGGTGTGAATACATTACTAGACTTAGATATAAAATAATTTAGTTTAGTTTAGTTTCCACAAGAAACAACTCAGCGTAGCCACCAAGTGTCACCACCATCATCATTATCTGCACGAACTGCACAAAAATCAAATAACAAAACTTGTGCTCCAACCTCACAAAATGATTCTCTGCAAAGAGGACAAGTTGAAGTTTTCAAACTAATCCATTTTTCTATACAAACTTTGTGAAACACATGCTCACACCTTGGTACTCTAATAACTTCTCCTTCTCTAATTTTGCATAAACACACACCACACTCAACATATTCTTCTCTAATACTTGACAAATCAGGATCTTGAAGCTTGTAAAAAAAGAATCCTAACACCAATTTCAAATGAGTGAAAATTAGTGTTGGATATTTCATAAGCATGTTAAAATTTTTATTAAAAAGAAAATGTGAATGAATAAAAGTTGCTATTGTATTGGAATATTTATAAGGCCTCTCTTGCCTAATGAATATTATTAAATTTGTTTTTCAAATAAAACAAAATGAGCAAACAATTTAAGAAGTAACATAACTTGGCCTAAAAGAAAGGATGCATCTAATACTACTACAAATTTAAAAAACATGGTCCTAACTTATTGAGAATGTTCATTTTTCATCATTAGTTTAGTAATGGTAATTGTCCAAAAGTATGGCCCATATTAAAATCCTACAAAAGGATAAACCTTGCATTAACTACAAAAAATGACATCTCTCTATCGGCTTAAATTTAATGGATAGTTGTTGAATCTTTATCCAATATTTCTCAAAGAATATAAAATTTTATGTGGAAAAGTATCATTTGTATACAATGTCTAATTGACATACGTTTTCATGAGATACAATGACTTTCATTAGATATAATTGTTATTAATTTATAGGTCCGAGAATCTTTGCACTTAAAGAATAAGTTTTTCGTCTTGTTCTCTAACTCGCTTCAACTTGATTGAATGGTGGAAGAGTTTGGTTTAGTGGATAATAGAGTCTTAAATTGAAATCCGGTGGCATTAACCTTTCTTTATTAGAGAGATTTCTGTTTTTGAGGAGCTCTTGGCCTTGCTTAGGGACATCACTCTTTCTTTAGATAATGATAAGTGAGTTTAGAAGTTTGCTAGAGAGGATTTTTTCAGTGGTCTTCGCTTATCTAGTTCATAGTGCCAATTTGATATCCTCTTCGACAACTCTCTCGGAAGAGAGTTATTTTGTCCCTTTAATTTGAATCAGTTAGGCTCCTTCGAAGATCTTGGTTTTCTCTAGGAAATTGTTACAAAGATAGACTTTGTGTGTAAAATTATCATTTGTATACAATGCCTAATTAACATATGTTTTCATCAGACACAATGGCTTTCATCAGATACAATTGTTGTAAATTTACATGTTAGAGAATCTTTGGCTAGGGATCATCCCCTTAAAGAATAAGTTCCTCGTCTTGTTCCCTAATTCGTTTTAACCTTATGGGATGGTGCAAAATATTGATTAGTAGATAATGGGGTCTTGAATTGGAATCTCAGGTGTCAGAGACCTTTTTTTTTAGAGAGAGAACTCTCTTTTTCAGGAGCTCTTGTCCTGGCTTAGAGACGTCACTTATTCACTAGATAGTAATACGTGAATTTAGAAGTTTTCTAGAGAGGATTTTTTCTAGTGGCCTCTGCTTATCTAGTTTAGAGTATCAATTTGATCTCCTCTTCGACAACTCTCCCAGAAGAGAGTCGTCTTCTCCCTTTTATCCGAATCAGTTGAGCTCCTTCGAAGGTCTTAATTTTATCTTGGTAATTGTTGCAAGATAGACTCCCTTATAGAGAGAACTTGTATAAGATAAAGTGATTTCTGATCCTAGCTTGATCTCTTATCCCATGTGTGGGTATTTGGTTGAGACGAGTACCCATCTTTTTACTAGTTATGAACTAGCCTGGTTTGTGTAGTATATAATCTTTGTATTTGGGGTAGCAGGTAGTTATTCCTAGTGAAATTAGGGTGCTCTTCGAGTTTTTATTTCTTTATGGGTTAAGTTTAAGTATAAGGGTGGTTATCTTCTTATTATGCATGTTTTATTTGATCCATTTGGAATGCTAGTAATGATGCCATTTTGAATAGAGTTACGGAAAATAGTTACATAGGTAGAGAAGACGAATTTTTTTTGGCTTGAAAATGGTTTCTATGTAAATCAGGGGTGAACTCGTGTACCTTCACATGGTAAGCTTCAAAAACTTATCCTTTACCTGTACCTATAGAGGATTGAGTGTCCACCTATGAAAATTATGAATTCTTATATGTTTTCATATAGGGACATACCTCCTTAATCGATTAAACCGATCAGTTTACAATGAATAATTAATTGTTCAAGCCATGAATGTAAAGTTTTAATATTTAGCAGTTGCCAAATAAGAGGGAGTGTGAAAGCTGATATGGTCGTGTGTGTCAGATTGGCTAGTGTCTTATAAAGACACAAGGGTACTTTTGGAAATACTATAACAAAATCACACACAATGAAAAATCTTTGAGAAGCCTTTCTTTACTTATGAAAATAACCTACAAATGTTTTTAAGGTCTAGTCAATCAGTTAGGGAATTGTCTGATCCGTTGGAGAGCTATTTCAAACTGAATAATCGATTAACCATAATCATATAATCAATTATTTTCACTTTGTTAAGTCTAAAATTGACTGGTCTGCCTCTTAATGATTTCTAACATCTAAATATCATAACCTTCCATTTGTGGCTTGAAGAATTGATAATTAAGGGGCTATAATCTATTGGAATAATCAATTATGGAAATTAATTTACCCATGAATTATTACCAAATTTAAACCACAACCTGGCCTATAATTAGAGATCTTCTATATAATTTAATTTCATCCAAAAAATGAACTTTGATCCCACTTTTTCACTTTCTCATATTTTTCTATCAATCTCTCATTTTCTCACATATATTTTATCTTAGTGCTTCGAGAGTGTGATACGGTGGGAGAACTGACTTAAGGGTTTTACGTTTGTGTTTGCAAATGTTTCGGCTTAGCAAGAGTCGCCACCGACTTTTTATTTTATCCAAAGGAAAGGTCAAAAAGCACAGGAAAGACCTTTGAGATGTTTTCTTGGGTTCGGGGGGTAGATTATGAAAAGGGAAGGTGCTAGAACCCTTTTCATCCATGGTTTTCCGTGGGCTTTTAGTTACTTGTTTAAATCACTTACTTTGCTTTTCCAATTGTTTGAAATGGTGCTTTGTGTGTGGTTTTGAAAATGTTTTGAAAAGAGGCCATCGTTGTGGCAACCTTTGTAATGATTCTTGTTTGAATGTATACAAAGGTGTATTGTCTTTTGAAAAGATTTTTCAATGTTTTGAAAGTTTTGAAAGTTTGTTTTGGAAAATGTTTTGAAATTGTGTTGTGATGTGTGTTTGAAAATAGCAAGGATGTTTTTGCAAGTTTTGATCAAGTAACTAAGAGTTGTCTACCCTATCTACTCAAAGATATTTCCTACACATTTTTAACCCTTTTGACAATGTTGTTTTACCATTGCATTTGGTAAACAACCTTGTATTTGGATGTTAAACAGGACAGACGCGGGTCATCGTATTGACCATGATAGCAATTGCGCTAAGTATCTTTAGAAATTTTTTGAGGGACTAGATCATTTTGTATAGGCAACCAAGATAGCGTCATTGAGGGACTATGATCTTTTTGTTTTGTTTTTGTTTTGCCAAGATACTCAACTTACATAACATGGCCATTTTTAAAGGCAACAAGTGGATGAAACCCTAGGGGTGCATGTGTGTATTGTGTTGTCAATTTTCATGCTTTTTGTCTTTGTATTAGTCAAGCTATTTGTTTGATTTTAGATTTTTTGCATACAAACCCTAATCTCTAACATGGCATATTTGAAAGCATAAAGTGTGCAAAATAAACCCTAGCTATTACAACATTGATATGGGGAGGGGGATACAATTTTTGAATGGGTATTATTTTGCAAGAAATTAAAACCCTAATATTTACTATTACATCCAAATTGAATTCTTTGCATTAAATAATAAATAAGCAATAAAATATAAATATGCAATAAAATATAAATATGCAAAATATTATGAATATGCAAAAAATGTTTTTGCTTATTTTTATATGTGTAAAATAAAATATTTAATGTATTAAAAAAGAAAAGAAAATATTATTCTTGGAAAGGATAGAAAACCCTAATTTTATTTTAGGAAAATATATTAATTATATTATTTATTTATGTACAAGTAAATAAAAATAGAAAATATTTACAAGTATCAAAATAAAAAAAGTATTAGAAAAATATTATTTTTTGATAAGGGTGGAAACCCTAGTTTTTTTTATTATTTATTTTATGTACAAGAAAATAAACATAAATATATACAAGGATATTTAAGAAATAAAAACATGTGGAAAAAAAATTATTTTATATGTACAAATAATAAAATAAAAACATATAATATCTCTTAAATATTTATTTGTTTTTATTAAAGAAAATAAAAGTATATACTAATTAATAGTTATTTTCATGTTAGAAAAATAAAATAAAATATTTTAATAAATGTGAAAATTTATAAAAAATATTTTTGATATTTTTTTATGTTTAGAAAATATAAAATAAAATCAGAAATGGAAAACAAAATAGAAAAATGAAAAAATATAAAGAAATGGGCCAGGGGGTGCAATCAGTAAAGAAGGGGTGTTAAAAACAATGCCAGAACCAAGCCCAGCCCACTGAACTTTATCTTCAACCTTTGCCAACCAAAAACGCGCGCGCCTGACTCAAATATGGAAAACCTGCATACGTGCTCTAATACAAAAACTCATAACACCAAAGTTATAGCATTTTAAAGACGATTCCTACCATGTAAAGAACTCATTCTAACTCTCAAAGACCAGAGAGAATTTCTCTGGCCCTAAATTCTAACCTAATTTTTCAGGAAGTTCATGAATCAAATTCTCTTAACACGCTTAACTTAAATGAAAACTGAGCATATGTACAGCTTCAGGGCTATGAGTACTACATTTTTTATTCACAAACCTAAGCCTAATGATTCCTAAATAGAGAGATAGAAAGTTGCAAAATACCTGTTTCAGTTGAACACGAATATGGCAATGTGGAGCTTTTTAGTAAGGCCTGAGGTGCTTGGGAGCTTGCTTGAACTTCCTCTGACCTTCCCTAATGCCTAGTTTAACTTGGATGTGCTTGAAAAAGCTTGTAGAACTCAACCTGCACAAGCTGAAAACAGAAATGGTGAAGCTTTCAAATGGAGTTAGAGTCACTGCCTAATGGTTGAGATAGCTTGGATAGGTTATATGGAAGGTGTTTGAACAGATTTGGGGCAAAACGCACAAGTGGTTTGTGAGATAGAACTCAAAGTGCAGAAGCTGCCCTGTTTTG